GAAGTCTCGTTCTGGCCTACAAGGAAGAAAAGAAATAGTCGAATAAACTCGTTATTTTTGTTTGTTTTTTCGCACAAAAAGTATTCGCGTCGCTTGATAAACATATAGTTGAGCCACGGTAGTCACTTGGGATATTTAAACATTTTCTTCATTGACTTTCTGGGCCGTCAAGAGGCAGTCCTTTAGGAGCCAATGTGGTAGTTATACAGCTCTCAAATTTAATCAAAAATATCTTCATTTGTGTCCCGAAGACGAACGAAGGTCTTACGGGGTTGGTACAGCATGGGGGTGAGTAATTAATGACTTAATTTTCATTTTTGGGTGAACTAACCCTTTAATAATGTTTAATTAGAAAGATTTCGATAACCCTTTACACTAAGGTTCATTAGTTAACATTATTTAATTACATTAGTCAACATGAACTAATAATGAACTGCACATATTTATTAATCTTGTTAATGTTAATAATGAACCGTACTGTACGGGGATCTCTCCAGATCTCTCACCGTTTGGACGTGGTTTTAATGATGTCCGACACCGTCTGAATGTAGTCAGTGGCCAAAACCACGATCTCCTCGTCCTCGGAGAAGTTCTCGTTGAAGATTCGGTCCAGAAGACGTTTCCAGTGGAACTGCGGAGCGAGAGGACGGCGGCGTGAGCCTCATGATTATTGAGTTATGATTCATCTACAAATTTGTGTTTTAATTATCAGCGGATCTGTGCGGTACTGATATGAGTCTTCAGATATCGGTCAGTTTCACCGTTCAGTGGAAGGTCATCAAGAACCACAATATAGTATGTTTTATATATTTACGATAGGAAATGTACAATATATTGTCATGATCTTCACATAAAATGTGTGTGTGTGTGTGAACTCACGCTGGGAGCCAGTTTCTGCAGCTGGTTCAGAGTCATGCGGTTGTACATGCTGCTGATGTCTTTCCTTTGCTCCTCGTATTCAGACACTGTGATCTTTGGCCAAAAACAAAGAAGAAAGACTGTTCAATCACGTGTGCACACACACACACACACACACAACAAGCACATCCAGCAGTTCAGAATCACTTCCATTCAGATTCAGTGATTCGGTTCATTCAAGTGATTCCTTTGAACGAACACACTCATCCTTCCCTCGTGGGTCACAATGACCCGAAGCCCTAAAATTATACTTCTTTTATTTTTTAGTCCAGAGATATTTTATTTAATTTTGATAATATTTTCAAATGCTATTTTTAGGAGATTTTTGTTATTTTTTATTTGATTTTACTTTAAATTACTAGATTTGATCAATAACTAAATAGTAATTTAGAAGCACTTTTCTCAGAATCTTTCAACTTAACTTCAAAATAACTCACAATTTCATGCCTAAACCTTTTAATTATAAACATTATACATTAAAAATATCGCGGGAGCCGAGAGCGAAGTGGGCGGGGCCAGTGTGTGGTGGGCGGGGCCACCCCTGGGGGCGGGGCTACAGTACAGTACAACATTAAAAAACATTTTTCCGTAATGTTTTTAGATATAATTTTGAGCATATTTAGGTTTTTCTATGTGTACTGAAGCATTCCTCACATTCCACTGATTCCTAAGGGGGGCAGGTTGAGCCGAGAGGGACGGATCCATACTGTTGTGTGTGTGTGTTTGTGTGTGTATTCATGGTTCAAGTGCGACAAAAATCCTCCAAAGAACACTCAATTTTCAACAACTTTCCAAAAAGCATTCCGGGTCAAAATGACCCGAGTAAGGGATGATGGGAAGAACGACTCCCTGGCGAACACACACACACACGAGATACATACGTTTGCCAGTTTGATCTCCAGGTCCAGGATCTCTCGAGCCTTCAGCGTGGCGTTCTGAGCTCCCAGCATGCTCAGCAGTCGCTCCATCAGCGCCTTATAGGACGCCAGGATCTGACGGACGCGAGAGAAACGCCGTTATTAAACTGATGTCACACACAAAAGCAAAAGTAGCATTCATAAACCATGATGAATTTCATATGATTCTGATTATTAAAAATAAAGTATTTAAAAAGTTAGACATATTTTAATAAACTAAAGAATACAACCTAATTGTAACGTGTTACCAATGTAAACACTTATCTGGATGTCTATTAGCAATAATAAAAACCAGGTCTTATTTCACCATAATAATAAGAAATGATATTTTTAGTGCTGGGCAATGATTAATCACACCCAAAATATATAATACACGTGTGTGTACTGCGTATAATTATTTTGTATACATAAAATACACACATATGAATATATATATTTAATATTTGCATGTATATATTTATACGTAATTTAAAAAAGAAATATTTCATACATAAATAACCCATTTTTCTTAAATATATTCATACATTTGTGTGTTTATATATACAAAATAATTATCCACAGCACACACACACATATATATATAAATGTACACACAATCTTTTATTTTGGATGCGATTAATCATGATCTAGAATATTTTACATAAAGACAGGTGTTCATTCCTGGGAATATTTGATCTCTCGGTGGGATTTCTTCGTGGCTTGTCAGTTTAAATGTGTAGTTGCATTGTGGTAAAAGTCTGATGTCATCGGAGCGTGACAGAGGCACCGCTGTGACCTCATTACTAATGGACACGAGCTCGTCTGTGACATCATCACCAGCTGTGACCCGATCAATTAGACATGCGACAGATGGAGAGACGGAGGCGCTTCACCTTCACACTGTCTTCATCCAGGCCGAAGTACAGAGTTCGTTCCGGCAGAGTCAAACCCTCCTGATCAATCTGCAATCACACACAACTTTATTAGTATTGTCCATTTTATATTTGTACATTTCTGGAATACATAATTTAGAAAGTTCCTCTGATAACAGATCACTGTAAACTGTAATGTGGAATTTTAATGTGAAAAGCGCTATAGGAATAAACGCGAACTGAATTAGCCTCACCCGTATGGCGTTGCGTGACGAGTTTTTATCGTCTACGCTGACGGTGAGCGAGAAGAACACGGATGTGCTGTATAATCCCTGAGTCTTGTACAGCATCTCATTAAAATCCGGGCTCACGGGGGCGGAGCTACTGTCCCACCCTGCCCCTCTAGGCGGAGCTCCAGACAGGTCCCACCCACCACAGCTGTCAATCACCTCAGTCATAGGCCCCGCCCCCAGACGGTCGATCTCCTTCATGTTGATACACGAGCGGTAGAATTCTTTCACCTTTGGGAGAAATATAATAAAGTATAATTTAACCCCAATGAAAAATATTTTTTTATAATATTTTCAGTTTTAGCTAACTATAACAACCTTTATTTATATAATTTCGGTAACACTTTACAATACGGGTGCTTAACTAATGCACAGATAATCATGAGTTAATGTATAACTCATGAAGAACTAAACCATTAATTAATGATTACTGCATCAGCAACTAATAAAGAGTCGATATGATTAATAGATTAAGTAATACATGAATTGCTATTAATTCAATGTGTCATTGTGTATTAATTCCTTAATAACATATTTTATTAACTAATAGTGTAAATTAATGTGTTAATTACCACAATTAGTCAAAGCTATGCACTTCAACTTCCAGTTGTCTGCTTTAATTAATCATTAGCTAATCATTTGCAAAGGTATCATTATGTTATGACTTTACTTGTTGGGGCACATCATTATTAACTAGTCATTTAGTAATTGTAGTAATTTGCACTGTAATTTGCAGTAACAATGAAGTAATTAATCATGTATTAATGCATATTAGTGTACCTGTCATATTATCTGGAAGTTGAAATACAAGGCTTTGGCTCATTCTGGTAATTAACATATTCATTAACACTATTAGTTAAAAAAATGAGTTATTATGGAATTAATCCATAATTACATATTTAATTAATAACAATTCATTTATGAACTAATACATTAAACCTTCAGACTCTTAATTAGTTCCTAATGTGGTAATCATTAATGAATAGCTTAAATAATCATTAGTTACACATTAATTCGGTATTATCTGTGCATTAGTTAAGCATGAATTAATGCTTATTAATGCACCCCTATTGTAAAGTGTTACCATAATTTCTTACAAAAACATTAGAAATAAATACCTACTTGAATAAAATAAAATATCTGTTTTTTTTTTTTATTTGCACTATATTAAACCTATTTCTATTATTTATTGCAATGTATTGTTAACTCTCACATCCAAAGTACATACAGTATTATCCGTAATATGAGCCCCATTGTTTTGTTTTTGTACATTAAATGTGTACATTTGATGTCCATTGTTGTGTAAGTTTAAGAAAATGAAATAAAATACATAAATCAATGTAAAAAAGTAAAAAAAATATTTAATTAATAAATAATCATAAGTAAATAAATAAATAAAAATGATAAAAAGTAAAAAATAAAACAAATGTCTTTAAAGCAAGCCGTCGTACCTTCCTCTCGGCACTGTCCGGCTCGTTCCTCTGGACCGGCACCTGTAGGAGGCGCTGCAGCTTCTCCTGGTTCAGTTCCCCAATGGCGGTGATGATCCCGTAGCTCAGTTTGTCGTCGGGAATCCCGTGTCGGCGGAGCCATCCTCCGCAGGCGAAGCTGTAGAAGTCGTGACAGGGCTGGACGCTCGGGTCGATGTTTCCCTGGACGAATCGCGCGGCCCGGATCAGCGAACGCCGTTTAACGCAATCCTGCCTGCACTGCGAATCCTGCGCTTCCAGCGACAGGAACTTCAGCGCTAGCATGCATCCGAGAATCACGCACATTCCCGCCGCGAACACCAGCGCCGAGAGAAGGCAGATTTCCCGCCGGCTCCACCGGGCCGGAGCCCTGCCCCCAGGAGTGGCCCCGCCCACCACACACTGGCCCCGCCCACTCCGCCCTCGGCTCCCGCGATCTAGGGATCCCCCCAGGTGCAGACTCATGCCGTTGCTCAGCGTGTTGCTCCCGTAGCGGCTGCCGTACTTGATCTCCTGGAAGTCGTCGTAATGCGCGGTCAGGGAGTACGTCTTCTC